GAACCCGAGGGTAGGTCCGCATCTGTGAAGAAGATGGGTTCCCCCCTCGGCCTCTTAGTTGGGGGCACGTGGCTGACCTCCCCAACGTAAAGGGATTGAGCCCACTTCTTCCGCTGGCTGGTGGAGTCTCCACCAGTGTTGCCACCATTAATCATGTGGATGTGGCGCTTGTATTGTTGGTGGGAGCCCTCTCCCTCGTCTTCGAGGCCGCCAATTTCACGCTTCTTCCCATGCGGGTTTCCCAAGGGAATGGTGTTGGGGTTCACCCACTTGTTTGCCTTCGGCGGAGGGCCTTGATGATGAGGGGGACCCTGGGGCGGAGGGCCCCTGATGAATTGGGACAAGTGGCCCGCCTGTATCAGCCTCTCGATGGCGTTCTTCAGCTGATGGCAGTCGTCGGTTTTGTGTCCATGGTGGCGGTGGAAGCGGCAGTAGGGCTCATCAGGACCGATGGCATAAATCTCGAGGGGTGTACGGGAGTCTCGCTCCACCAGCCCTCGCTCTTCCGCGTGGTCCAAGATGACGCTGACGGGGTGCGTCAGGGGAGTACGTGGGTGCTCAAGGAGGACGGGTTGCGCCCACGCCTTCGGATTGTTCTTGTAACCGCCCCCGGGTCTGGCTTGGCCACCTCGGGAGCGATCGTTGTATTGGGCCTCGCGGTTGGTCGGAGGGGGAGGCCCTCCGGGCCGATTCCTGCCTTCATTCTTCTGAGAGGGGTCGGTGTTGCGGCGGTCCTTCTCGATTTCCTCCGCTTCAGCATATCGGTCCCCCCGCTGAAGGGCCTTTGTATAATCCCGGGGGGGATCAGTGATAAGGCTCCGGGAGAAGTTACCGTTGCGGAGGACGGTGTGGAAGAGGGCCATTAGTGTCCTGTCATCAGCGCCTTCGACCTCGAGGGAGGCCTGCCTCCAGCGTTCCAGGAAACTCCGAAGGGTTTCCTCCTTCTGTTGTCTCACGTTCAGGAGGTGGGAGAAGTGCTTCTTTGAGCGATGCCTCCCAGCAAATTGCGTAAGGAAGCGGTGGGCAAGCTCTTGCCAAGAATCAATGCTGCCTTCGGGCAGCCGGTTGAACCACTCATACGCGGGTCCCTCCAAGGTGGAAAGGAACCAACGGCATAAGTATTCATCCGAGGCCCCCATCATCATCATGCTATTTTGATAGCGGCTATAGTGTTCTTGGGGATCCGTCTTCCCCTCATACGGCTTGATAGGTTGCCCCCGATATTTGTGGGGGATTTTGGCCGCCAACACCCTTGGGGTGAAGGGTGTTCTAGTGCGGAGTTGAATGAGGGGCTCGCCTGAGCCTTCGGCGAGCTTACGCTTCATTTCCTCCACTTGCGCCCGGAGGTCAGCGTACTCTGGGTCTGGCCTTGCCGTGGAAGCCGTCGGGGGAGCCTGACGATTCTCCTCAAGTTGACGGAGGAGGGCTTCGATGATTTCGTCCTTAGGATCCTTCGGGGCAACCCCTTGGGAGTTGGCCCGGAAGGATTGCGCCTGATTTATCTGGTGCCTGGCGTCATCGGCATGGAGGAGGGCTTTGCCTTTGCTTCGGGGGGGAGGTACGCCCTCGGCGCCCGAAGCAGAGGCTCCACTCTCCTGGGGCCTGCTGAATGCTTGTTTCCCGAGGCGGTCTTGGACCCCTCGGTGCCCGGGAGCTCCCCCAAGCCTTTCAAGTACAGAGGTTCGGGGTTTCTCTTTCATCATGGGGCGCTTGTCCTTGGATTGGGCCTCTTGGGAGGCGGTATCCTGTGCTATGACCCCCTCGGCATTGCCAATCCCCGGGGGAGGACTGTTGAACAAAGGAGGGAGTGGCGGCAGTTGGATAACATTCCCTCCAGCGTGGGGCTGAAGGGGTGCCTGAGAGGCGAGGGCTCCGGAATTGAGAGCCATGTTTTGAACAAAGGCCGCAAAGGCAGCCTGAAGATCGATGGCCGAGGCCGGAGGGGGAACTTGGTTCTCACTCCGATCCCTCCTTCGATTATCAAGGCCAATGCGGGCATCAGGGGTGTTCTTCTGCAGCTGCTGACGTAGGTCAGCGGTGGCCTGCTCTAATTCGAGGATGATACCACCCTCGGGTACTAAGAGCCTGTTGGAGGCCTCAGCCCCGTTAGTTTCGCCAGGGGCCACGTGGTTCTCCTCAAGGGTTTTGGACTGGGCACGGGTGGTTCTTCCCATTTTTGGTAGAGGGGGAGGTTTTCTCACTTGATTGTTCTGACCTCTCAACGAGAGCACCAAATGATGGATAGTCTACCCGGGGGGTATCTTATCCGAGGGGTTATTGCGGGAATAAATAGAGAGAAGTCAGAGCCAAATAGGAGGAGAGAGAGTCGATTTATTAAATGAACTCAGCGTGTGGAGTTGAGATGTAGATGATGATTTACAAGGAGAAATGTGCTGCTATTTATAGCAGCAATAAATGCGATGAGAGTACACGTGTCAGTAATCCAACGGCCGAAGGGTCACATGAGCCGGTTGGCACCGGCAGTGGTACGTTTACCGCATTGAATGCGGTTGGCGGATGTGACGTGGTATTAAATGCGGTGGTTGGCTGTCTCCAAAAGGAATCTCCGATGATTGAGCGCGTTTGGCCGAAGGCTCCTTGTGTAGCCGAGGGCCCCATGTAATCGAGGACCCCTGTGTGGCCGGAGGCCTGGCGTGACCGAAGGCTTGGTTCAGCCGAAGGCCTCAACGATGCCGAAGGCTTGATAGTGCCGAAGGCTCATGTTTTTCGCCGTTTTTTCCCAGTAGCTTCTTATGCCTGAAAAGGCTATCCTGCGAGTTTTGGAGCCTTCGGCCAAGGAGACCGAAGGCACCTCAGTGTGTTTTCTGGGCCATTTTGAGGCTCGGGCCGCTTCATTTGGGCCTGAATTGTTTTCTGGGCTCAATGGACTTGCGTAGGAGAAGTAGGAGTCTATGGGCCGGGGGTTCCTGGGCCATATACTCCATCAATCACATATTCAACTATCTTCAAATAGGATACCATTAGACTGCAAAGAGTATTATTAAAAAAAAATTGCCATTGTTTGTAGTCTCTTTACAGCTCAATTTTACTTACATTTCTCAGCAAAGTAATGCAATAGAGCGAAATGCAGAACTGATCATTGTTCTCCGCATAGGCTATTCATGTTCACCAAAAAGCATTTAAATTTTAAAATTGGAAATGGCAAAGTTATGTGAACGTATCCAACTAATATGGGATGAAAACTCCCAACAAGATAAAGAACTATGGGCAGAAATAAGAGGCTTTGCGCATTAACTTTTCTTGTTGCAAGTCGTATGCATAGAACCAGTTTCGTATTGGGCATAGTATGAAAGATCTTATAATGCACATATTCCTATGGAGGACGACTAGGTAGTGGGCATCAAGGTCTTTGTGACACAACCTATAATTCACTTCATTCTCAATTAGAGCTTCATTTAATCAGAAACCTTCTGCATCATTTTTCAGAACGAATTTATCAATTTATCGTATATTGGATTTGAATCAGATTTCGAATCAACTTACATTGATTCCCTGCATCTATTTACCAGTAAACCCTCACAGAGTGATTGTGACAGCCAATGGTTTCAATAAGCTTTCCAAACATATTTCCGTAGTTGTCAATGGCAATTGCCGATTATTTCCATTGGAGTTTTAAGGGCCTACCGGCACAAAAGTAATATATGACATGAATGGCATCCATTATACCTGTGGCAGCACCATCTCCATTTGCCCCACAAATTAGCCCATATTTAAACAGCTTTATTTTAAACAAATAGGCCCATACTATTTAGGGCCTTGACCCTAAATAAAAATAGTCAGTTTGGATTAGCCCAAGACACATAATTAAAAAAAATGCTCATGTTACCCGACCCCAAACGCTTTTGGGACTAAGGCTTGGATGTTGTTGTTGTTCAAGTGTTCAACCAAGCCAAATATTATTAACGGCAACCAAGGCATACGAAAAGAAGAGATGCACATCAGAACAAACAAACAGCTAGTAATAATAAGGTACATAAAAATGGTATGTGCAAACTAATGACCAATAGAGAGTGATGGTCCCGGTTAATTATTCCTTGCAGAGAGGCTGTGCATCGGCCAAACGACAACTATAGGGGGCTGAGAACGAAGAGTATGATGACTGATAAGTGATACTCCGTAAATGATAATGAATAGATCATAATGATCGGAAAAAGATTCAAATTTTTCAGAAGAAGTGAACTTTTTCTGAAAAAAAGAGATTGTTTTAGGTTACTAAGTTAATTAGTTGTGTTGTATTAGGATTGTTTTGGGTACTATTTTGACTTGCCTACGTGTTTTTCTAGAATTTGGTTATATAACTCTTTTAGTGGAGGTTTGATCATAGAACTATATGTCTATATTTCAAATTTATAATTGTTATTTTTTCTGTAATGTGGCAATGGCATAAATGCACCATCCCCATAGTAAACTGCCTTGGCGCAATGATGGTCGCCATAAGCCACGACAACTATGCATATTTTTATGCACAGTTTTTATAGCTTCAGAATATACTTATTTTATTAACATTCTACTCTTAATTACGAGTATATAAGAAAACTATGCCCCTTTGTTTGAAAATCTTGATTAAATGTGAATTGGAGAATCAAAGGTTTCCTTTTTCAGCTTTGTATCCATCCCTCTTGTTACATGTTGGCTTATCCTTAAACTCTGAATGTTCTGCTATTTCTACATGTGTGTAACATCAGTTTATACAGATATTTCCTCATTTTCAATACAGGTCACTGGGAAAGATGGTCTACTTTCTTACTTCTACCCTCTAAAAACCAACATGACCAACCTCAAACAGAACACATAAAGACAGAAATCAAGACTCAGAAAGGCCCAAAGGATTCTTGGTACAGTTCACAGTGCCTGATAACTGTAAATGCTTTGTACTAGTACTGCCATCATCATTAACTAATGCAGTCTCAAGTTGCATGGAAATGCTTCAAAATAATTATTTATATATTAAGGGCAGTATCAGGCAGAGTATCAATTACTGTGGCATAGACAACTAACAGGGTGAAATGTCTCGACTTCTGTTATCAGCGCCTTCCAAGCAACAAAGTCTAGTGAGTCTCCACTAATAAGCTGATTAAGTCTTTCATGGCAGCTTACTACAAGACAAGAAACATAGCTAAACGTAAGAGGCAACCCAAAGGCCAAAACTAAATATATGAAAAGCTTCTTTCTTGTTACTATAATTAAGAGACTTAGTATAATATGTTCCATATGCTGCTCCTAACTATTAGGCAAAAGCAAAAGTATTATAGTGTTCCCTGACTCTGTCTGATAAAATTGATTGCACCCAACTTTGTCAGAAAAAGTTGATTTAAGAGAAGTAGTTTAGTTTCTGGATTTATTAGGAAAGAAGGGAAGTAACCAAGATGATTGATTGTTTTCCTTGAAAGAAACATCGAGACATTGATTTCTTGTTTCTTTCATCATTTTTTCAAGAATTGGTTGAAAGGAAAAGAAGTCCAACACTCCGTGGTACTTTGTAGTTTGTACTAGTCAGACTATTATTCATATGTGGTTATGACTTACTACAAGTTTGCGGCAGAGTAGCTGCTGATGACAAATAAAAAATTAAATATATATATATACAAGTCCTCCCTACTCCTCCATTTAATTTTTCGCTTCTGAACTTTTGTGCACACAATCCACACATAGTGATGTACTGATGTCTGTTAGAAAGAAGTGGCCTTTCCCTTCATTGAAGTTATAATTAAACACGGATTTAAAAGAGCCAAATGTAAGCCTACACATATCTACAATGACAAGAACAAAGCCTAATAGTAAAACTTATTTGGATTGTATACCTGTTACAGATAGAGGTTCCTCTGAAGCATTTTCCATTAGGACGTGTCCTTCAAATTGTGCACTTCCTGCATTACACTCAACACAAAAGTGTGAACCGGTGAAGATCATTGCAAAAGATTGCAGATTTGAGCGTGTATTTTCAAATGGCGTATGGGAACCTAAGAGGCTAAGACTGAAGTATGATTGTAATTGAGCCGAGCCATTAAGTGGCTCCTGAATCGCTCGAACAGAGCTCGATTAAGTTCGGTCGTATAGCAGATTGAGTCAAATGCAAGAGATCAGTTTAGATGCACACATAGGTACTAGATTAGTTTAGATCACACCAAGCCAAATCAAAACAAATGTAAATTATACACCGACGTGATTAGATCATATCAAATCAGATCATTTTAGATTAATCCAGACCAGATTAAACCGGACCAAATCAGATATCGACAGTTGTAAAGTATACAAAGATCACACATTTACCAGACTAGACCAATTCAAATTAGACCGGATCATATCAGATCAGACCAGACCAGACCAATCCAGAAAATTTCATTTCAAGCAAAAACATCCTAAGAAGTTGTTCTGTTCGTCTTAATCTTATTACTTATTATTTATTCTTATTTTATTCAGATCAAATCAGATCAGAAGATTCAGATCAGATCAGAAAGATCTAAATCAGATCAGGAACATTCAGATCAGATCAGGAACATTCAGATCAGATCAGAAAAGTTCAGACATTAATTATAATAATATTAATAATAATTATAATAATAATAATAATAATTATTATTATTATTATTATTATTGTTATTGTAATTAATATTATTATTGATATTATTATTAGTATTATTATTATTATTCTTATTATTATTGTTACTATTATTATTATTATTATTATGATTACTATGATGATGATTATTATTATTATTATGATATTTATTATTATCATGATTATTATCATTCTTACTACTATTATGGTTGTTGTTGTTGTTGTTATTAGTTTTGTTTTCGTTATTATCATATTATACGGAGTAATTACAATTAAAATTATAGAAATAAATATTACAAATATAATTAAAATTATAATTATAGAAATAAATATAACTATAAATATAATTACAATTATAGCTATATTTATAACTAGTGCAATACGTATAATAATAATTATACCTATTATAATTGTGTTTGTAATTATAATTATAATTTTTATAATTATGATTATAATTATAGTTATATTTAAATTATATATGTGTAATTACATTTATAATTATAGTAATTATAATTATAATTATAATTTTAGAAATATTCAAATCAGATCAGATCAGGTCAGAATGATTCAAATCAGATCAGATCAGGAACATTCAGACCAGATCAGGAACATTCAGATCAGACCAGAAAGATTCAGATCAGATCAGAAAGATTCAGATCAGATCAGAAAAATTCAGATCAGATCAGATCTATAGGGGTGGATCACAATATTTGTCCTTCTAAATTCGTTCACTCAAAAGAACAAGGGAAAATGGAAACTAATAATCCAACCTTTTAGCGGTCTTCTTTCAATAATCCCACCTTTTGATTATTTGTGAATAATTCAACCTTTGCACCCCATCTTCATTTGTTGGTCCCTGATCGGTTAATGACTTGCTATTCCAAGTTATTTTCTTATCTTTGCAAAATATTATCTTTGTGAAAGATGAGATTTATGGTATAATGATTTGCAAAGATAAGAAAATAGCTTGGAATAGCAGGTCATCAACCGGTCAGGGACCAGTGAATGAAGATGAGGTGCAAAGGTTGGATTATTCATGAATAATCAAAAAGTGAGATTATTGAAAGAAAACCGCTAAAAGGTTGGATTATTAGTTTCCATTTTCCGAAAGAACAAAGATCTTATGTGAGATATATTATCTCAACTTCCTTTTGTACTTAGACTCATACAAATCAAAATCTTATGTGTGCAATTAGTTGTTTGGAAATTTAAGATCCCTAACTCCTTGGACTTGATTTATGTTTGAAATTTGATGCATTAGTATTGTTGGGTGTGTATCGAAAAACAAAGAAAAATTAATTAATTAAAATTAATTTAAATGACGAAAGAAAAACAGAAAATAGATGAAGCAGAATTTATCCAAAGCTCGTGCTACGCACGATGTCCTTAAAACGTATTCGTTGCCTCCCGGGGTGCTAGAAGCGTTGCAACGATCATTTCCCAAGATACGATGACTAACGAGCAATCGTTTGAGCACTCAAACGACTGTTTCGGCGAATGAGAACAAATATCAACACTAAGGAATTTTTCAGAGAGACTGGAGGTGTATTTGAGCTGAAAAAAACATGAAGAATGTATTTTGCGTTGTGTTTGTTGCAAACCACCTGCCAGCCTTTTATATGGAAGAATTGTTGTGCGTTAGCAACGTTTTAATGGACAAGAACGTTGGACATCAATGTCCAGGACGTTGGGCATTGATTGATCCATAAAACTGTCCATTTAATTGCATGATCGTTGGGCATTAATGTTGTAACGTCCCAACGGAGCAGCAGCCTCCTCCCAACGGGACTGTACCTGGAGAAAAAAATAGGAACATAACCGAAGAACAAAAATTAACGTTATCTTTAGAATATAAATTTTCGAACAACAATCAGCAGGTCGCCCACGCACGCAAGTCGCGCCTTTTGTTCTCTGATTTCGGGATTTGATTCGCACCCCCCTGCGTGCAAAGAGAGTCTTTTTACTTGAGAATCTTAACTCCTTAGAATAGGCTTCCCTTTATAAGGGGTTGCAAATCCATTGAGTTTTCCGGTGTGGGAAAAACCAACACTAGAAACCCATCTTTTCCTAGTTTTCTCCATTTCAACGAGTGAACTTCGAGAATCAATTTCACATTCACCCGTTATCCGTTTTGAGCGTACCATATATCGAATTGTAGACCTTAACAAGAACAATCTGAAACCACCTTGACCAGACCCAAATCGGAAGTGGACCCCACTCAAAACATTGCCCCAAAATGACCATTTAATACAATCCCCCACATGAATGAAAATTGATTTTCGAGACTTAAAAAGACACGAAGATAGGGTGACACATTGTGTTCACCGGATGATCCCTGCATACGGAGAGGTAGGTTTTATCCTTTGAACCTTCCGCTTTAAAGACTTGTTTATTTACTGGTTGTCTAGTACACTTGATGTCCTTGAACTATACTGTCGTCGTGTAAACATTGACTTATGTTTACACAGGAACCTTCCAACTTTGTTCCGTTTTCATGGGTGTCCCGTTTTGGTCATGGGTCGCCGTTCTGGTTCTGCAAAAGTTTCTAAAGAATTGAGCCTTTACAATTCTCCTTTGAAGCGGCTCTCTTCTCTCTCACATAGGTGATTCTTTCACGAGTATCCCGCATACTCTTCCAATGTTATCGGGTAGATCAACATTTTAGAATCATTAAAGCAAACATTTTTGCTAGCCTCATGTGGGAGTCATTGTTTCAACGAGGAGTGGGTAGGAGTTCGGGACCCCCACAGTGACCATCTTTCGCTCTATAATTTAGTTGTCCCTTTTGAACCTGCTAGGACCAACTAGGATGGGTATCCACTATAGAACTTTTCAATTCATGGGCTTTAGTATCATTCCTCGTGACAACTTCTCCAACATTTCTCTATCCAATGTCTTAGTTAGCGGATCTGCTATGTTATCATTTGACTTCACGTAGTCAACAGTGATAACACCCGTTGTGAGGAGTTGTTTAATGGTGTTATGTCTACGACGAATGTGTCTAGACTTACCATTGTACATGTTGCTTTGTACCCTTTCAATTGCCGCTTGACAATCGCAATGTATGCATATTGGAGGGACAAGTTTTTTCCAACTTGGAATATCCTCAAGAAAATGGCGTAGCCATTTAGCCTCTTCAATGCACTTATCCAAGGCTATTAGCTCAGATTCCCTCGTGGATCTAACTATTACCATTTGTTTCGAGGATTTCCATGACAAGGCTGCACCTCCCAAAGTGAAGACATATCCACTTGTGGACTTTGAGTCCTCAATGTCAGATATCCAATTAGCGTCGCTATATCCTTCAAGTGCAGCTGGATATCTTCCATAGTGCAGTCCAAAGTTTTGGGTTTTTCGTAAATACCTCAAAACTCTTACTATTGCCTTCTAGTGTTCATCACCGGGGTTGCTATTATATCTACTTAGCTTGCTAACCACAAAGGCAATATACGGCCTGGTGCAACTCATTAGATACATCAGGCTTCCAATAATCCTAGCGTATTCTACTTGAGAAATACACTCTCCATGATTTTTGATAAGGTGTACGTTTTTATCTAATGGCGGCATTGCATCTTGATAATCATCCGTATTAAATTTAGTAAGGATTTTATCAACGTAATGGGATTGGCTTAGCGTAACACCGTCAGGTCCTCTAATTATTTTAATCCCAAGGATTAAGTCGGTGTTTTAACCAAAATAAGCTAGACTCGAAATATTAATTGAACGGGAATCGAGCAAATAGGAATCGATAATGGGATGATTAAGAATGGAGGAAATGTTTATGCTAACAATAAACTACACTGAAGATATTGAAGAAATTGTTATCATGCAAATATAGAATGAGATGAGCAAGAATAACCAAGAAGTTTTTTATAAGCTTTTTCCTAGTAGTCTATCAATTCTGTAGAGAATGTGCTCCCTAGGGTTGAATGTTCCCCTCTATATACGAATTACCCTTTCCTTTTTCACCTTATTCTCTCATTGATTATACATGATTAAATAAGGAAGTGGGGGCCTATTATTTGAATTCCGGATTGACCTCATGCCTCTTTATTTCTTTCCTTGCTTGGGCTCTTTCCTTGTGATGTCGGTCTTTGCTAGGTTAGGCGGCCAGAGTCTTCCAATTTGTGGTTGGTCTGGAATGCGTGGTTCGAGGATGAACCGGCCCATTACTTTATGGGCTTAACAATTGCCCCCAATTCATGATGATGGTGGATGCGCTAGAAGAATGTCATCATTATGAATTTGAACTCTTGGCTGATATTCCACTTCGATTTGCTCAACCGTTTATTCTTCTTCCAGAATTGTGCTAATTAACCGGTTTGAACTTGCAAGTGTACAAGTGCCGATATAGTAATAAATTCCGGTAAAATACCGGGTCGAATCCCCAGGGAAACGTTGTTTAATTTAGTCCGAGAGTAGATGACTTTTAAATAAATAAATGAGTAAAGTGCAGAGATTTTGATTTGTGTTTTGTATTTTTGGCTTCTCACTTTTAATTCAAGGAAACAACTTTAATTAATTCGGGTTTAAAATGAATTATAAC